AAGTTAAATACTCCTATCTTACCTTTGTTTTTTTCTATAGAAAACACCAACTGAGTTTCAATGCGCGATATTATATATATATATATATATATATATATATATATATATATATATATATATATGATAAAATAAAATAGAAACGTATCTCCATTTTATTTTATCATCTTGTCGGATTCTTATCTATATCTGATCTACATTTGATCTTCATGCTTTCTTTCAAACATGTTTTGTTCAATATGACAGATTAGGAAAATCTAATTAATTTTTTCCGTTCGATGGGAGTGAGGGTGTCTAAAAATTATCCGTAGTTTCTATTCGCCCACTTCTTTTGCTATTTTCATTGGATTTGTTAATTTCTTTTCATGTTCGTCTGTTTAAGATATAGTTGCGCGATGACTATATAGCCGTAGCGTTTCTGTCGAGCCCCGCGAGACGAACGTGGTTGAAATTCAAGTTGGCGTCTTTCTATTTTAAAAACACTTTTAACGGATTATTTCCGTTGCTAAATAACGTGAGATTTATACTGGGTGCGAGATATATATAATCATTTTACCCCAATCAAGGCAATAAAGCCACCAAAACGCAAGTGGTTACTTAGTGTGAAAAACTCTGAGAAAAAAAACAAGATGCATTAAGGAGAGAGAACAATAAATAAAAAAAAAGCAGGATAAAAAGAGAGAAGCTAGTGAATGACATTGCATAGACATTTTTGAAGATCAAAGTTGATAGAGAGCAAGAGGACAAAAGAGAGTTCCCTGAACCAGTAATGCGAGAGAATAAACTGTTGGTATAATATTAGCCATCTAGCCATTTCAACTGTAAAATGCTGAGACCTCACGGCCAATCTAGTACTGCACTTAAATTCATAAAGTCTAGGTCAGTGAGTTATGTGCCATGCACGATACACGCTTAGGCGATCATGTATCTTTCGATATATGACTGACGAGCAGATTTTTTTCCCGCAGTAGTTTGCCATTTCTTTCTGTTGTAGACCAGTCCTGCTATTTACCCATAGCTGGGGGCAGAAGAAGAGGATTCATACGTTTCCCAAGGCTATTAGCACGTAAGTGAATGTAATAGAATTGACTGGAATTCGAACCCGGCTCTCCGATTCCTCAATCCGAGCCGCTATCCACTTAGGAGACACGGTGGAGTAATGGATAGTATGTCTAAGTACCAAAGAGAAGAGCTCATCAGAACAATTACCATGAACATATTTTTTATAAAAATGCACTAATGGGAAAGTGACTGAAACCGAGATGCCAGGTCTAGAGAGATACCATTGCAGATTATTCTTTGGATTTTATCAAGAATTTTTACATACATAGCAGAAGAATCAGAGCGGGCCTGACAGAAATATTCAATGCATGGATGAATAGCAGATTTATAAATGTGTAAGATAGATTCTGGCGAGAAAAAATGCCTAGCACGACACAGTGAACCAACTTTCCTAGCAGCAGACCTAGCAATGGATTCAATATAATCTTTCTACTTCATGTCAGCGGGAAACGTTAAATATATATATTAGATATGACTTCCAAGAAAGAATCTGAACGAGATTTAAGGCAAAGAGCACCTTACTTTATTTTGAGACTCTCCGTAGCGACTGGTTAAAAGCATGCCGGACCAGACGATGGTTACTCCTATGACGGGAAACGCATGTTCGAATCTTGCTGGAGGGAGTATTTTTTGTATTAAATCTTCTCGAATGCGCAGTCCAGAAGAGGAAATAAATATTGTTTAAAATCGGGACTCACACACGGTTACACAAGAAAAAAAATTTGAAGTACTAAAAATATACCCGATTAAAATTTATATATATACCTTGGGACTACCCATACGGATTACCAAGTTTTTCATAACTTAACTATTAGCTCCTTATAAAATAAGTTGAACTCTCATTGGATCACCTCCCATGGAATTACCGTAAGGATCGACACTTACAACATATAATGGATAAATTTACACCGGATTAAACGCGATCATGTCTCTCAAACCACCCCTCATTATCCCCTCTGTTAAATTACAAAAACTTACATCAAAAGTATAAATTTTCATTTCATTTCGTCTTGTTTCATCTGTTGGAAGTGTTATCTGATGATTCAGAGTCCTTTAAAAGGCCTCTGGTGAAATAAATTATTATAATGGAACCTGGATTTACATTGAGCTCTCAGGATTTCATCCTCCTTGGGACGGATTACCAAGTTTTTCATAACTTAACTCTGTCTGTCTGTCTCTCTGTCTGTCTGTCTGTCTGTCTGTCTCTCTCTTTCTCTCTCTCTCTCTCTCTCTCTATATATATATATATATATATATATATATATATATATAAGTGATGGATTTTTATTTATTAATCCGAGAGACTTTATTACTTAAATGTAATTTTTAGTGGATACTCATATTTAAGTAGACGCCCTGTTTATTTATTAAACAGTATATTTATTTTTGTCTACCGACCAAAATATTCGAGAAGTACGCATATTTTTCTTTAGTAAGATTTTTCGAATATCTTGGTCAGCTGACGAAAATAAGTAAATATACGGGTATAATATAATAAATATACGGGTATAATATAATAAATATATTGGTATCCACTAAAAATAATGTTTAAGTAGGCATCCGTATATCTTGCGAGATAAAGGTAGTGCCCTGTTTGATCAAATGTCAATCGTTTGGTGGTAAAACTGGAGTAACCGTTCCAGGGCGCAGAACCGGGTGGTGACAGACTACATCCCCACCCCTTTCGACCGTATCGGAAGGAATGCAGGGTATTACATTTGCTGCAGTAGTTTCCGGAGTGTTGTCAGTGTTGACAGCCAACCGCCTTCCAGGCTACACTCCGAGTTTTCAGTCTGGATTTACTTTCATAGCCTTTTTCGTGTTCGGATATGACCGCAGGGTAGCGGAGGCATAAAATCATGCGTTTCCTTCCTCTAGATTGACTGAACTCGTTCCCTATGCGCATGCATGCTGTTTGCTGCCTGTATAGGTTCTTGATTATTCTGATATCTATCCCGAATATATCAAGGTTGCTGAGCAGTTCCATCAGATCCTTGTGGCGTACTTTGTCGAAGGCCTTTGCGTAGTCTATGAAACATGGGTACACGTCCTTCTGCATTTGTATATGCGTATAGGGAATGAGTTCATTGAATATACAAAAATAGAAAGGGGCGTAAGGCAAGGATGCGTCTTCTCACCCGACCTGTTCAACCTATACAGTTAGGCAATTCTGAGAGAATTGGAAACCCTACCGGGATTTAGCATTGGTGGCCACAATCTTAACAACATAAGATACGCAGATGACACAGTACTGGTAGCAGGCATGGAAAAGAAATTACTAAATCTCCTACAGAAGGTAGTGATGGAGAGTGAGAAGAAGGGACTATGCATAAATTACAAGACATAATGCATGGTCATTAGTAAAGGGATGAGCTCGAAATGAGATTTGCATGTCGGCAACATTAGAATCAAGCGGAAGTTTAAATATCTGGGAAGCCTTTTGACAGAGGACGGTAAGTGAGACACTGAGATCCATAGACGTATTGGGATGGCCAAGGACGCATTCCAAACGCTGGGAAGAGTATTGCGAGACAGGTGGGTTACTTTGGTAACAAAGAAAAGAATACTGAGCTGTTACGTGACATCTGTCTTTCTTTACGGCAGCGAATGTTGGGCGATTTCCTCAAAGATGAAGAAGAGACTCGAGGCGACGGAGATTTGGTTCTACGGAAGGATGCTGAGGATATCATGGACCGAGCGTGCGAGCAATGATGAGGTCTTAGAGAGGATGCAAACAAGGAGGGTGCTCATACTTAACATTAGGAAGAGGCAGCTGAAGTTTCTGGGACACATAATAAGGAAGGAGAGCCTGGAGATTCTGATATTAAAGGGTCGAATAGAGGGAAAGAGAGACAAGGGAAAACAACGCGTGACATACCCGGCGGGCTTAAGCAAGTGGATGACAGAATGTGGTCTGGAGGAGGAAGCAGGGGGAAGGAACTTGTTGAGAGCTGCAAGGGATAGAGGGAGGTGGAGAGACATGATCGCCTATGTCCTGAAAGGACATGGCACATAAAAAGAAAAAAAGATTGACTGCTTTCCTGGGTTGTTGAGCCCCATCTAACCGATGCAGCTGGTTATGTGGCGCCAGTTTTCAACCTTCACCAATTCTCCGGCTTGAAGCTGGACTTAGATTCTTAGGTTCTTTGTATCTATCATCATACCTTTCTCTTTATCCGCCTCGGGGTCTATCTGACAGAGGCTGCTAAGAGGAGCTTGTATTTCAAGTTGAATGTTGAACTTTAGTGCAGGTTGTATCACTGTGCCTGAGAAGATCGAGACAAGACAATATTCGAGCAACATTCGTCACTTAAAACGAGGAAACATATAATGAATGCTAGCTACGATGTTCAGATGTTAAACATAGAAATTAGCAAGAGCGCTGGAAAAGAAACTCATAATTCCACAAACATCAGCAGAAAGAAAATGCTATGTACAGCATCCTCTCTTCTTATGTTTGCGTTTTTTTTCTATCTTGTCTTTTCCAACAATGGTTGTTACCCACTGAGCACCAATAAAGCAACCTTCTGCTTCACCTTTTATCGTTTCTTCTTTCTTACCCTCCAACCTTCTTTTTTATCCATTATTCCAGCATGTATTCCCTTTTTCTATCAGGGAAGCCAATAGCTGAAGCTTGTCTTTACCAATTAGGACACAGATGCAGTCAGGATAAGGCAAGCCTCAATTAATTACTTAAGGAATGAACACATCTCATTAGGATCTTTTTCGGACTAGGATCTTCTAGCTTTAGTTTTGTAAGCAAAACGTTAACACACAGTATTTTTAAAATGGATTTTTTTTAAATCCGACAATACTTCTTATAACGGGAGACACGTTTTTCTTCAGTACGACTTCTCGATCTAGGCCGGTTGACTTTAATTTCACTGTTTAAAAAAACAGAAAGAGATGTTAACTGAAACGGGTATACCAACTAAAATAACGTCTATATTGAAGATAGATAGATAGATAGATAGATAGATAGATAGATAGATACCTGCAATCTGTCTCATAGCCTCACCACTGCCCTCATGCTATTTCCATGCGAACCAGATTCCTTACTTCCACCTGTTCTAACCTTCAGGGCTAGGACTAGCCAGGCTACGCGCATTGTAGTAAACAACCCTCATTCCCCTCGTATGCCATCGGCGAGAAGTAAGTTCTATTCGAGCAGCTTCTTCCCGCGAACCGCTGCTCTGTGGAACGGACATCCAAGACTATGTTTTCCCGATCACTACCAACTTAACTTGTCTAAATCTAGGGTTAACCGTTTTCTTCCCCACATACCCGCATAAACTGTGCCTCTTACATTTTAAGACTCTACCTCGTTCCCGGGCCTTGTACAGGTTGAATATCAATATAACAATCAAAAATCGATAGAATATGAACATACTGATATAGATAGATAGATAGAATATTAACGGATTGAGATAGATAGATAGATAGATAGATAGATAGATAGATAGATAGATAGATAGATAGAATATTAACGGATTGAGATAGATAGATAGATAGATAGATAGATAGATAGATAGATAGATAGATAGATAGATAGATAGATAGATAGATATGTACCGAGATACATAAAGAGAGAGAATGAAAAACTATTTCTTTTTCCGCAATAAATATTTAATTTACATTATTCGGACTATTGTCCTCATCTTTGTTGCCATATTTATCACAACGTTTCGGCCGATGTACGCTCCGGGCTTCTTCAGTTGCTTGGAATGTCGAACTGAACCCTTTATTTCGCTCGCTGGGGTAGACTGTTCTAGTTCCCCGTGTCATGTTTAATGGATGTCAGTTATCAGTTATCTCCTGTTAATTCCCCTCTCCAAGTTCTCCACCGCCTTAACCACGTATTGAAATCCCACTCTTTGCGTCCTGTCACTGGATCTAACTAATGCCTTTATCCACTGTGCCATGTGTCCTTGGGATATTTAATTTCTCGTCTAGTCTCATTCCTTGTCAATGCACTTAATTCAGTGGTGAATATTAATCACAGTGACCAAGTATTATACAGTAAAAACTACAGATTAAAATTCAGTTAATACGTACGTGTCAAGTTATGAACTTATTGATTCAACTTGTTATTTATCTCCATAAGAGGCTAATAGTACTGAAAACGGAAAAAGACAAAAGATTTATAGTTCACGTGTGAGGGCCTTTTTTTGTGCGATGGCGTGCCTCTAAGCCATTACGACTAAAAGCGACGTAATGAACGCCTTTTTTCTAAAATAAATGGTATAATAGTTTTTTTTTTCTTTTAAATTTCAATATAGATAATAACTTCCTTTAATTTTATTTATCTTTCACTTGCACGCGTAATCATTCTGGTCGATATTTGCCAAAGAAAGGGATCACGCTATAGTGCTTTTATCGACAAAATAACGTAGGTCACTTTTTGAAAGTACGGAAGTCAATAAGTGTCAAAACACCCAACTGTTCAACTGTGTTTATTAAATTCATTTTAATCTGCTACAAGTGCGTAGACCTAGAAAACCGGTTGAGTATCGGGCTCACTACACCGACCAACTGATCTGCGAGACAAGTTTGTTCGCCACCTCCTTATAGTATGCAGGATCAAATAGATTATCATTTGTAGTGAATGGGCGTTACTACCTAGGACGGATGAGGTTAACCTTTCAAAGTATATTCACTCAAAACGTAGATAGGTTATTAAGATATTTTATAAACAAAACAGCATAGTTCAAGATAGAAAAATATACTTGTGTATACAGGTCAGAAAAAAAGTGAAAACAAACATGTACTTCTATTTAGTCTTTGTATGGGTGTAAGTTCGCCACATGGTTTGGTTGCAATTAAGAAGTCGGTTTTCCTGTCTACAGTCTCCTCGGAGGGAGAATTGATCCGTTTTGTACCTATACATGCTGAGACTGAGGGGGCACCTTGACACAGTGTAATGGTTAGCAAGTTTGTCTTGCTAGGTCAATTACGGACGAGTAGTGAGTTCAATCTTCACTGGATGTCTCATACTCTCGGCCTTGTGCCACAACTAAGCTACTAAACCACGATGGCATTTCGACGTCATGTAAGGATTAGCAGTCTTGTTTCGACAGATCAATTACGACTAAGTAATGAGTGCTCCACACATACGGCCTTGTGCCACATCTAAACTACGCTTACAAAATCACCATACTGAGACTGAGGAAGGAAAAACGAGAAAGGGTATTTATGTCACTTCCTTCTAAAGTGCTTAATATCACGTCACTGAGCGGATGTTAAGCGAAGTCTCATGGGAAAAAAGCTTGGAGTAAATCCACATAGGTGTCGCAATACTAAATTTGTATAAGTGTTATATTATTTTAACAGTTTATAATATAATATAACGTCCCTGTCAGGGGAGTCTTGAATAGTTCAACTTTTTACCCCCGCAGAGAGGTAAAACCCAACCAAACATAGCCACATTCCGAGGGATGCTTGCTGATATGGTCGATCAACTGTAGACCTAACTATATATTCGTCCAATATTTACGTGTCGTCTTTGGTGTATATTAGACCAATGTTTACCTCGCCCAGTCTACCCTACTATTAAACCCATAGCTGAGGTGGGAAGAATTAATGGCTTTCCCACGAGTATCATTGCCAAAATGAACGTAGCATTCGTTTTCACAATGAAATTCTTCTCCCATTCCACTTGACTCGGCGTTTCTACGTTGTTCTTTCCTCATTATATGCCCTAGAAATTTCAAATCTGTTTTTGACGTCAAGTATAAATGTCATTTTTGCTTCCATTTTCTCCAGAACTGTCTCATTGCTAACATGTTCGATCCATGGTACTCACACGTTCGTTCTGTAGGACCAAATTTCTGTTTGCTTCAAATCTCTTCTTCATCTGTGAGGTGATTGTCCAGCATTCACTGTTATATTATTTAACAATAAAGTACTCTTTGTTTCTAGCGATATTTTCCATTTTCTTTATAATTTGCTTAGCTTTTAACAGGCATCTTTCGCTATCCCAATACGCCTTCAGATTTCGGTGTCGCATTTTCCGTCCTGTGTTAAAAGACTTCATAAATATAACGGATGTAACAGCAAAATTGTCCAAATCGTGTAACGGCATGCGATAATTTTTCATCCTACAAAATGTTTAATATTTAAAAACCCACTAAAGTAACTGAGTTTCTTTTTTCCAGGTTTTCATATAAGACGTTTAGCCATCTTTACACCATTTGTCGTAAGAATCGCTGAAAAACCCTTTCAGTTATTCAGCTACAAAGAGAACAGGTTAAAATCGTTTTGTGTCAGACCCACTGTCTTCCCAAATGAGCAATAGTGAGAGGAAAAAGATCATTCCGATCTTCAGTAATGGTACCAACATTTATACTCTGGCTTCCATCTTCAAAGTCTATTCAAGAAGCATCAAGAGAGCAGTGAATAAGTTTTAAAAAGTGGGAACCGTATAGAGGAAAACTGGATCAGGAAGTCACAATGGGAAGAGGGATCACCATTTCAACTTAGAACTAAAGAGATCAATTAGAAAAGATCCAACTAAATTCATGGCACGTGAGAGAAGAGTTTCAGCTATGACAGTCCAAAGAACAATGAAAAAAACACTTGAAAATTATATCGTACGTGAAACGTGTGAGGCACCTTGTTACTCTAGGACAGAAAGTTACAAGGTTAGAGAGTGCGAAGATCATCTTGAATGAGTTAGAAAATGATCCTGGAATAACATATATATATATATATATATATATATATATATATATATATTTTTGATTTTATTTCAATCCTTCATGAGCTTCCGATCCTTAGCTATGATTAATTAATGATGAAGATGTCATTTTCATTTATGATCGATTTCATCACAATTTTTCTGTTAAACTTGGAGAGTAATTGTACATTCTTATTGCTCAAAGTAGAGTCCAATAGTGTTAATTCCAGTAAGATATCTTTACAATGGTTTAGAGCTTAATCTAATAATTGGACAATAAATAGTGTTAAAAAAACCTCGGAGAATTCCAGTAAGATATATTTAATCATTTCTAAGATACAACGGTACAGAGCTTAAGCTAACAATCGGACATTTTTGTTGTTACACGATTTGGACAATTTTGTTGTTACACCTGGTATATACAATATGTGTGTGTGTGTGTGTGTGTGTGTGTGTGTGTGTGTGTGTGTGTGTGTGTGTGTGCTAGTGTATGTCTATATATTTTGTGTGCGTCTTCAGACAGAAATATCTCGTTAATAGATATCTTCTTAAAACTGACAGAAAAATAATTTATTATAAATAAACATTATTTATACATCTATATTTCAGCAGTCTCTTTTGCCGAGTTTATATTTCGCAAATATAATCTGTCCATCAGGGATTTCGATAATTTAATTGAATTTATTTAAAAAAAAAATATCACATGTCGCTTAAAAGTCACTTTTACATGAAATCGTTAATTTTAGACCTAAACTCTAAATTTTATCAGAGCAATAAGACATATAAAAACGCCATTCATAACCAAAAAGAGAGGTAATAAAACCGTAAATTGTTAATGCCAAAGTATAATGATTCAAAACATTAAACAAGTTTCAGTGGTCCTCTCTTATCAGAGCAAAAAATCAAAGATAAAAAAACATGTGCAGAGCCGATACAAAATATACAACCCCAGTCTAATGTTATATATAAATAAAGATATAACATTACCTTTAAGCCGACCAACCACTTTTTCTGCTTACAGAGAGATGGCTGGTAGGACTTAATATATACTGATTCGAAAATCTTTAAATGACAGTAAGTATTGGCCTTACACTGGGAACATGTCTGGGCTATAAGACCGAGCATAGCTCTGGTTTTTAATCTAATGTTCAGCATTTAATCTGAATCAGATACATTAACACACTTATGTAAATTGTCCACCATTCCCTTGCGAATATTGGCTGGTACATGTTAATTGATGCATGTTTTCAACCTTCGACCAATTCTGCCTAAATAGCATCGCACTGACATCTGAATTTGTAAGTTATAGATCTAATAAGTGTGGAGAGGCAGAACATTCTTTCGGGTCGGTCTCAATATAGTTCGAGCACCAAAAACAATGGATTGGCAGGAATTTTATTTTTTTAAGGACATTGTTGTATGACGTAATCTCATTTGAAATTCCTCGGTTATATTAATTCGATAAATTTTTATTTTTATTAAAGTTTGTTTTATTCTCTAATGAAAAAAGATAATATAAATTGTAATTTATATTGTGTATTTAATATATGGTCAAGTAGTTAAAACTTTAGCGTTCCGACCACGATACCCGAGTTCAAATCTCACCATGGTCGATCTGTCAAGGAGGTGACTTCATGATATCAGCCTGGGGAGTTGAGCCCAGCGCGCGGTACCTTTGGAATGTATCAGAACACCATACCACAGTTTGACCCAAACCTTGTTAGTGAAAAAAAAATCACGATGCTGTTCAGAAGCCGTTGATGGTTCTGTTAATACGAAATTGTAAGTCATCGTGGCAGAGATTTTGAGAATACCGATCTTATACTGCTACTGATTACACCAGATTATGCGCTTTCTTTCGGTAACTGCAACTAATGTATGCTCAGTGTACTTGCTGTATAAACTACAAGAAGAAACACAAATGTGCCTGAGCTGGCGTCTGCTACAGGGATTAACTAGCCATCCTAAAAGACGGGTGTACTTGGAAAATCAGTGACGAAACTTTATATCCGAAAATGTTTATGACCATTGGTCGGTTAGTACCAGCTTTCAGAAAACATAATGAAATCCGAAATTGAATTTTGGTGATATTTTCAGGCAATCCTTGGAGAGCAACAGAAAAAATTATTTCTCTAAAAAAGTTAAAATGACAAATCCATAGATATACGGTGTTCCAGTTTTTAAATACCTATAAATGTAAATTTTATATTAATAACAGTCCAAGATGCGAACTATAAATTGGAGATGCCAAAATAAAGCAAGTGCAAAAATGCAGATATATGGGAAGGTTTTTTTAATGGAGGACAGAGAATATGAAACCGAAATTTGAAGGTGTATTAGAATAGCAAAAGCTGCTAAGAAACATGAAAATGTCGTTAGAAACAAATGAAAGAACACTGAACTCTTGGGTAATATCAAACCACGTCTATAGTAGTGAATGCTGAACAATGAAAAAAGACTTGAGTCAACAGTAATGTGGTTCTACAGAAGATATGCTGAGAATACTATGGACAGAACAACAAGGAAGATTTAAGGTAACTTGAAACAAAAAAAAGGATACATTTGCTTTGTATTAGAAAGAGGCAGCTGGAATTTCTTGAACCTATAATGAAGAATGAAGGCTTGGAGAATTTGACACTCAAAGTATATTGAAAACCGTAGAGGCAGCGGGCAGTCAAGTCTAAGTGAATGTCTGACGAGATTGATATGGTTAAAAGCAAACGTTATTTGGAGCTACAAAGGATAGGAAGTTGTAGAGAGCCATGATCATCCATATCCTGTAGAACAGTTTTAAAAAGTAGATTTAACATTGGTATTATAGCAGCCTTCTTCTTTTTTCCATCTCTGTTAAAAATCATTTCCAAATTTAAATACCGTATATACTCTTGTATAAGACGACTTCATGTATAGTGCAAGCCCTGACTTTTTGCATTCATTTTAACCCCTCTGGAAAAGATTTTTTTAAATCATTTCACCCCAAGAAAGGTGATAATGCCACTAGTATGCAAGAAGTTAGAGAAAATGAAGGTGAAAGAGAAGATTGGACATAATGGGGATGGAGGAAAGGACAAAAGATGAACGGGATTCAAGAAGACAGAATATGGCGATTGATGTTGCATTTAACATTTTGATGATTGTAGTTATCAGGGAAGCAAGGAAATGGAAGAGAGTTCCACAGGTGGTTATTTCAACAGTAAGAGTGTGGAACCCTAGATGCCAATCTTGTAGCAAGCTTAAATTTACGTAGTCGGGGCACCAAGGAAAAAAAGCTTGTCAGAGCAGTTTCCTTGAAAATATTTGCAGAACAGACAGAGGGAAGCCACGTCACGTCAGTCAGAAAGTGACTGAAGTCGAGATGCCAAATCAGGTTCGATTACATTACAGGTGGTTACAGAGAATGAAAGTGAGAGAAAAAAATAAGTATAGGGAGGATTGAGGAAAGGAGAAAAGATGAACTGGATCATGAAGATAGAAGATGTCGATTGGCGTTGCATTTAAATTTTTGAAGATTTCAGATATCAGGGAAACAAGTAAATAGAAGGGAGTTCCACAAGCGGGAAGTGTGAGAAAAGAAATTTTAGAAGTGGCGGTTGCATTTATCTATTTCAAAAGTAAACGTGTGGGACCTAGATGCCAATCTAGTAGCACGCTTAAATTCAGGCACCAGTAAAAAAAAGCTTGTCAAAACAGTTGCCATGAAAATATTTGCAGAAAAGACAGAGGGAAGCAACGTCAGAATCGTCCGCATCACAGACCCTTCTTTGGATTTTGTCAAGAATCTCGAGATATATAACACAAGCACCAGACCAGGTATGAAAGCAGTATTCAATGCACGGACGGATAGAAGATTTGCAAATGTGCAAGATGGACTCTGACGAGGGAAAAAAAACACTTCTAGTACGACACAGTCTCCCAACTTTCCTTGCAGTAGATGCAACAATTGATTCGATGTAGTCGCTCCACTTCAAGTCAGTTGAAAACGTGAGGCTAAGAAGGCGTAGTGTATTGCTCTCCTGGAGTTTAGCATCAGCCATGCTGATGATATGCGGATAGGGCTCTCTATGCTGGTTAAATGAAAGCAGTTTTATTTTGCAGGCGCTCAAATCTACGTCATTTACCTATGTAAATGTGCCAGATCAGGCATCTGTTACACGGATTAACTAGCCACCTTAGAAACTGTTTAAAAACTAAGATTGGATTTTGTAAGCAGCATTTCTTTCAGTTCAGCAGGTCAGCAGGAAAAAAATGTATTCCTCCAAAAAAAAAAGTTAAGAAAAAATAATTCGGAAGATACACGGTGTACTAGTTTTTAAATACGTATAAACATATAACACTTATTCTAGTAACAGTTCAAGGTGTGACCTACAAATTGCACGGGTCTAAATCAAGGAAGTACTAATATTTAAACATCTGGGAAATGTTTTATCAGACGACCAAAATGTGATGCCAAAATGCGAAGGTTCACCGTAATAGCGAAAGATGTCTTCCAAAAGCTCAACAAAGTATTAAAAAACCGTGAAATTTCGTTAGAATCAAAGAAGCTACTGAACTGTAATGTCAGATCAGTTGAATGGTGGACAATCTCCTTACAGATGATGAAGAGACTTGAGGCATCAGAAATGTCGTTCTACAGAAAGATACTGGGAATACAGTGGACCGAACATGTGAGTAAAGTTTTGGAGAAAATCGAAACAAAAAGGAAACTAATATTTAACATCAGGAAGAGACAGTTGAGGTTTAAAATAACGAGGAAGGAAGGCTTGGAAAATCTGATACTCACGAGACAGATTGAAGGTAAGAGGGGACAGAGGAAAACAATGCATAACATACTTAGTGAGCTTCAGTAAATGAATGGCGGAACAGGGTTTAGGAGAAATAACAGAAATACAAAGTTTATTAAGAGCTACAAATGACAAGAAGCTGTGGAGAGTCATGATCGCCTATGTCCTGATGGGACGCAGCACATAAGGAAGAATAATTGTCTAGGCATTGAATACGAATTTTGAATCTCGCAAAAATATGTTTCCATTTGGATCACACAGTTCCTAAGGTTAGCACTGGGGTCTGATGGTAATAAATTGGCGGTAAAACATCTACCATTCCGAGTAAATTTTCAAGGAATCGATTAAATCCTCAGTTAAGGTAATGTTTTTGTTATTTGCTGATAATAACAACAACAAAAAAAGATTATAAACATGTAAAGAAAAACAAAAATCAAAAGATGAAAGAAAGCAAAATAAATAAAATATTAACGAAAAGAAATAAGGAAAGTGTGAAAAGGGAATGTAAAGAGGGTGAAAGGGAGGGAGTAGAAAGAAGGGGAAAGGAAGGGAGTGCAAAGAAGCTTAAAGGGGAGGAGTGTAAGGAGGGTGAAGAAAAGGGAGTGAAAAAGAAGGGGGGAAAAGGAAGGGAGTGAAAAGAAGGTGAAAAGGAAGGGAGTGTAAAGAGCTTGAAAGAAAGGGAGGGCTAAGAAGTTGAAACTAAGGGAGTGTAAAAGGGATGAGCAGGAGGGAATGTAAAGAGAGTGAAATAGAGGGAGTGTAAAGGGGGTGAAGTAAAGGAGTGTAAAGAGGGTGAAGGGGCGGAAGTGTAAAGAGGAAAAAGTAGTAGAATTGTAGAAAAAATGAATGAAATAAAATCACTTAAGAAGATTACGAAGAAAACTGAAGTGAAAAGAAAGGAAACCAAAAAAACAAAAAGAAAGTAAGAAAGAAAGAAAGAAAGAAAGAAAGAAAGAAAGAAAGAAAGAAAGAAAAATTAGAAGAAAGAAAGAAATACACCGTAAATGGTTGAAGACTGAAAAAAGAAAGATAACTAAAAACAAAGAAAGAAAGAAAGATAGAAAGAAAGAAAGAAAGAAAGAAAGAAAGAAAGAAAGGAAGAATTACAGAAAGATTGACAGTAACGATAAGTGAAAGAAAGAAAGAAAGAAAAAGAGGGAGAGAAAGAAAGGGAGAATTTTAGGTACTTAAACCGATTATGAAGAAAACCGAAGGAAAAAGAAAGAAAGAAAGAAAGAAAGAAAGAAAGAAAGAAATGCACAGCAACGGTTTATAAAGACAATGAACGAAAAAGAAAGAAAAAAAGAATGAAAGAAAGAAACAAATAAACGTGGAACTGAAGGAAAAAATAGAAGTGAAAGAAAAAAAAGAAACAAACAAACATATGGAACTGAAGGAAAGTAATGGAATCAAACAGAAAGAAAGGAAAGAAAGAAAGTCACTGAAGGCGGTTACGATGAAAACTGAATCAAACAGAAAGGAAAGAAAGAAAGAAAGAAAGAAAGAAAGAAAGAAAGAAAGAAAGAAAGAAAGAGGAAAGATTCAAAGGAATAAAAAAACTGAGGAATTTAAAAGAAAAAATCTAGACCTAAAAAGAATTGAAAACAGAAGGAAAGAATAATGAAGAAACAAAAATTGGCTCTGAATGAAAAGAAAGAAAGAAAAATACACTAAAGAAAAAAGGGAAAGAGGAAAAAAGAAAGAGACGAAATTGAAAGAAAAAGAAAAGGCATCAGGTTATGTGAAGTAAATATGAGGCGATCGATATGTGAGCCGCCACCCACTTCCATCACTCTAAGCCTGCAGCAAGAATGACTTGTCTTGTGAAAGTGCATTTAAGAAGGGCACGGGCAAAACTGACAAAATCGATCTTAACAGCATGACAGGAAGAATTTCACGGCACGTAGAAATTATCGCTTCAGTCAGAAGGAAGAATATTTACGTCGAATAAAGTTCCGTTATTACACATGCGTTTAATCTATCTTTCGATTTTTTTTCCTCATGGACTTATCTATTTATTTGCACATTACTAATAGATAGATAGATAGATAGATAGATAGATAGATAGATAGATAGATAGATAGAAACAGAATGGGATAGATAGATAGATAGATAGATAGATAGATAGATAGATAGATTTCTTCAGTGTTCTTCAAGATAGATATATGTTGTGTTTTGGCTCAACTATTTCTATTGGCTGGTCAATATTACATCATGGGTAGGTCTATTGTATTATTCTAACAGTTATTGGGTGGGAAGCGACGGTTGTGTTTTCAAATTATTCTAGGGACTGCTTGTAATGCACCATTGACCAGCATATATAATTAGCCGCGCCAAAACACAAACCATATGGTCTGAAGTTTGCGTTTAAGCATGAAACAGACCGTCACAGATGGGTGTTGACCTCAGTGTCTATTTTCATATTGATATACATAAATACGTATATATATATATATATATATATATATATATATATATATATATATATATATATATATATATGATAGACTCTCCCGACGGTTTCGACCTATGAGGATCTGACAGCATAATTGATTCAGTTATGAAATTTTATGCGATAATCTTAAGTGGCACTTCAGACCCGCTAGTGATTTACAAAGGAGGCCACATATGGAGCAAGAGTGAGGATTGTGAGATGACATCACTGTTAGATTGGCTGACCTTTTAGATCTTGCTCTCGCTTCTTGAAGATAATTCAGACAAGCAGAGTGAAAACTGCTGAGTCCACTAAAACACGTTCATCTCCATTCTACCCACTCCACGGCTAAGCGCTCAAAGGTGGTATGTGGTATATTGACTGCCGACAAGTTGCTTTTCAGCTTGTCTTTGTATCTTAGCCATGGACGTCCTACATTCCTGTAGCCCTGATCTAACTGGCTGTACATTAGGATCTTGGGTATCCTGTCATCAGACATTCTCAAAATATGAACAATCCACCGTAACTAAGATTGTATGAGTAAAGTCTCGATTCCTCCACTATTACACCTGTTAAACAGGTCTACGTTAGATGTCCTATCTTGAAGGTTAAATCCACAGATATACTCGACTCTCCCGTCGTATGAGGGTCAAGTAGATCAGTTCCTAGGAAACATACAGCCCAACAACAGCACATGAGAATTGATTATAGTGGTGAAGGTTTCGTGCAGGACCATCCACAAGGGCCGAATACAGAGACCTGGTGCACTACGTGCCACAAGGTCCCCAAACAGGTTTTGAATTCATAGTTGTCCTTCTCCTAGACCAGTTGCCATCCAAGGCTATATAACCCAGTCTGTCCTGCTATTTAGCCATAGCTGGAGGGAGAAGAAGAGGATTCACACCTTTTCCAAGGGTATTAGCACGTAATGTAATGGATTCGACTGGAATTCGAACTCGGCTCTCCGATTCCTCAATCCAAGCCGCTATCCATTACTCCACAATATATATATATATATTTATCGCATCATCTTAATTTTTAACTATTGAACTATGGAGCAGCGTTCCTACCATGATCCCCTGCATATTTAAAAAAAACAAAAAAACAACTAAAAGCTATATCTTGTGCCCGACGAGTGGGGTAACCAACGAAACTTAAGTCGCACACCAAACATAGGTATATGAATATTTATTAATATATATTTCCTGGGTCTGTACTATCACATCGAGCTCTATCATGGTCATAGTCATTTAGTAATTACTTGTTTGCTTATCTGTATATACAAGCCAGCACGCGTATATATATATATATATGTGTGTGTGTGTGTGTGTGTGTGTGTGTGTGTATGTGTGTGTGTAAATAAATTTATCCCAAACAAGGAGATAACCTCACTAAGACTCAAGAGACTACGAGAAGTAAAAGTGAAGGAAAAGACTTTAGAAGGAACCGGGAATCCAATAATGGTATAAGTTTCAGAAATCAGGCGAAGACACTAGAATTATATACTTGAATTAGAACTTGGAAAGAGCCAGAAATCCAATTCTAAACCTGGAACAAAGGATAAACCTCTGCTCCTGTTGAAAAGACCGAGGAGAAGTGTTAACCTGAGGAAAGAGGGAAACTATCTCCTCCAATTTAGAAGAGAGAAAAAAATTGATTAGTAAATAAGAGTAAAAATGAAGATGCTAAAATTATAGAGTTGAAATAGGCTTTAGAACAGGTGATGAATGTCTACACCTGTTCAAAGGACGGAGAAGGAGTATGAACCGGTCGATAGGCCAACCTATCTAAGCCAATTGAGGAGAGAGAAAATATTTAATAAATAAAATTTCAAACGGAGAATTATAGCGTTCAAGTAGAAGCAATCAGAACTAGAGACCCAATCTTAAACCGGAAACAAGGGATAAACATCTAATCCTATTCAAAAGACCGTAGAGGAGTGTAAATCGGATTATAGGGCAACCTATTTACTCCAATTGAGGAAAGAGAAAAGAAAATAATTTATCAAATAAACGTTCAGGCGAAGACTTTAGAATCATAGAGTTGAAATAGACTTTAGAAGGTACAAGAAAGCAGAAATCCAAGCCTAAACCAGGGAAAGGAATAAACCCCTACTCCTGTTCAATAGGCCGGAGAGGAGTGTGAACCGGACGAGATGCTAAACATATTTACTCCAATTGAGGAGAGAGAAAAGAAAATAATTAGTAAATAAAAGTTCAGACGGAGACTTTAGAATTATAGAGTTGAAATTGTATTAGGAATTAGAAAGCAGAAACACAATCCTCAACCAGAAACAAGAGTCAAACCTCTACTCCTGTTCAAAAGCCCGGGGAGGAGTGTGAACCGGACTTTAAGCCAACCTATCTACTCCAATTGCGGAGAAAACAAGGAAAATAATTAGTATATAAAAGTTCAGACGGATACGTCAGAATTAAAGTAGACTTTAGAAGGAACCAGTAACTAGAACGGATACAAGGGATAAGCCTCTAATCCTGTTCAAAAGAAGGCAGAGGAGTGTGAACTGGACAATAGGCCAACCTATCTACTCCAATTGAGAGAGAGAAAAAATAATTAGTAAATAAAAGTTCAGACTCAAACGTCAGAATTATAAAGTTGAACTAGACTTTCGAAGGAACTAGGAACCAGAAACCCAATCTTAAACCTAGAACTGAGGATAAACCTGTACTCCTGTTCAAAAGACAAGGAGGAGTGTGAACACGACGACAGGCGAACCTATCTAATCGAACTGAGGGAGAAGTAAAAAAAAATAATGGTTAATTAAATATTCATATGGAGACTTTAGAATTACAGAGTTGAAATAGATATTAGGAACCAGGAACCCAATCTTAAACTACTAATCCTGTTCAAAAGGCCGGGGAGGAGTGTGAATCGGGCGATAGATGAATCTGTCTACTTCTCTCTCTCTCTCTCCCTCTCTCTCTCTCTCTCTCTTTTCTATATATATATATATATATATATATATATATATATATATATATATACAACATATTAGAAACGTATTGTATTTGGAATTTCTGTAATGTAATTATAGTTTGGATGTGAAATTTGTTAATTCAAATTCCTCTCGAATAAAGATTGATTTACGATTTATCACATGAATATTCTGTGTGCAAAAATAATTCGATAAGTTACAATATGCGAGCATGTTCTTCTAAAATGCTATGTGTATCCTTGTCGTTGTCGGGGAAGAAATCTGTGACACAAATTAAAATAGGGACTGTAATAGGATATAGAGAGATTAAATTAAATTCCTCCTCCTCACCCCGCCTTTCGTAACTGAGTGGCATCTATGCAAATGAGAAGCAAGTTCGAACCTTGTCAGTACTTCGGTATTTCCCTGAAGCCTCCCCCCATAAAGCGGGATGTGGTACAAGGCCGGTTTTTAACGTGGGCCATTCCGAGCGCATACGCTCGTACAAAAATTCCCCGTAGACCCGCATACACGTTTCGGCAGAGCCTCGTCTGGTTTCCTCTCTGCACGGAGGGAGAAAGGTCGATATGAAGTTCTGTTCAACTTTCACATATTGTCAGTACTTCTTCTGTATTGGCATTATATATATATATATATATATATATATATATATATATATATATATATATATATATATATATATATATATATATATATATATATAATGAAATGGATTATCTCAGACAATTATTTAATATATTTTCTGTTAATACGTTATTTTATAGATATAATTTATATAAATAAATGCAGTTTTAATAACATTGCATTACGGGAATGAATTTTCCAGAAATTGTATAACACGTCAGATCAAATGACGGTTTCAGTATAGGAATACAGGTTCGATTCCTATCGAGAAGGCATATTTTCTTCGAAAATTCTCGAACATTCAGGCCGGTAAATGTAATTAATACTGTTTAATTAAAACAGAGCATTTACTAAAAATAGAAAATATATAAACAGAATATATATATATATATATGTGTGTGTGTGTGTGTGTGTGTGTGTGTGTGTGTGTGTGTGTGTGTGTGTGTCGTGTATGTGTGTCGTGTGTGTAAAAAGACTAAAAATTATAAAGAAAGCATTGATTATAAGAAAGAAAAAAACAAAAATCAATAATATCAATTATGAACACGGTCATGATATGCTTACCTTGTTTAGAAAAAAAAAGAAAAAACATTCCCAATAACTCTAGATACATACATAACAATGTATACATTCAGTTAAAAATAAAATAAAAATATCCTGGATAATGGCTAAAAGAATAGCCGAAAGCGCTCGGATATACAGAATATTCAGGCAATTTTTATACACTTTATGTCCAGTAAAAAAAAAAAAACTTATACCATCAAAAAATAAATAAAAAGCTTAGCTGTAGTATCTTTAACGTCGTTTTTGGTGAAGCAGGTATAAAAGAGGAATTGCTGCCCAAAGACAATTTATCATATATATATATATATATATATATATATATATATATATATATAGTTTAAGTAAATGAAATAACTAAATATAAGCAATGCTGACTTGTATATACAGGTAAGCAAATAAATAGTTACTAAATTTTGCCAAGAGGTGTAAACATGATAGAGTTCGATGTGATAATACAGACCCAGGAAATATATATTAATAAATATTCATATAACTATGTTTGGTGTCTGACTTAAGTTTCGTTGGTTACCCGACTCGTCGGGCACAAGATATAGCTTTTAGTTGTTTTTTTGTTTTTTTTAAATATGCAGGGGATCATGGTAGTAACGCTGCTACCTAGTTCAATAGTTCAAAATTAAGATGTTTCGAAAATAGTACAAAGTCAATACTTGAGGTTCGGGTGCAGGAAATGAGGCTTAGTTAAGAGTCATTATGGGAAAAGAAAAAATTGAAAAATTTGAAATTCAAAATTTGAAAGTGAGACAATTCGTTTGTCCATATAGTGGACGGTGTGGAGTTAAAGGGAGATAATCAGTGTGTGCCCTGAAGTATATTAAGTCGAAAAGGAATTTCACCAGAGTTACAATGTTTTAGGAGAAACATTTTTCTACGCTTACAACTAGACATAAGCTCATTCCTCTTATTAAGTAGATTTAAATTATAAATATTTTTGAGGATGCATTTTTTCTAGTAAACATAAGTTGCATCGTTCCCCCTTGCCAGAGAATGTTTAATTTTAGCGACAAATTCCCAATTTACAATGGGTGTGTAGCTGCCTGTTTTGATACCCCAGTAGAACTTAGAGAGTACTGTAGCATTTGCATAATTTTTGCTTTAAGGATCATTTTGTGATGTTAAAAATGTTTTTTTACTCATTATTTGCAGTTGACCCAAAATAAAATTTAATTTCATCATTGTGCTTGATGCAAGCCTTATACTCCTTTATACATGCATTTACTATTCATTGGGCAGACAGAACCTTTACGGAAATTGCATTTTTGATTATCATAGCTACTATTGTTCTATTGTTGCTTAAGTATTTATTAAGGGTTACACTATTATGTTGGGCCATATAATGGTCAATGTTTTTGATGCTGTTACAACTAATCTTAATGTTGTTCTTGAAGATTATTTTTAGTACGGTGTCAAGACTATATTCTGTATGCAATTTTATTTTTAGAGATAATGACGGTTTTAAGATACAAGTCTTACTAATTAACCCTCAAAAATTCTAATCGCCAACGGCAAGAATTGAATAAGCTGAGTTCGAATCCATGCTCTGTCTTCTTATCTTCAATACGCACTAATACCTTCGGGAAATGCAATAATCCACTTCTCCAAGCACTCAGCTCCAATAACTATCTTCCCAAAAAGAACATGTGTACAAATTCAAGGAAAGACTAGAGAAGTAATAAATAAATAAAAAAAACGAATAAAATGAACATGAGCAAAAAAAAAAAAGAAAAAAAAAGAAAACATTCATTCATTTTCTACGGCTTACCAACATTGTGCGGGTTATTTAAAGCCAGAAAATATTTTTAGATTATAAAACCTTTTCTTTTTTGGGAGATAATTAATATCGATTTAGTGATACAAGTTTAAAACTAATTAACCCATAGCCTAGGGAAGGAGTAGAGGTGGATTCATGCCTTTTTCCAATGGTATTTGCGCGTAGGTGAATATAACAAACCCAACGAGAATTGGAACTCGGATCTCCAGTTAACAATTCCGAGCCATTGCCCATTGCAGCACCTGTTATTCTCAAGCGGTCACTCATCTAAGTACTCATCAGGTTCGATGTTGCTTAACGTGATCGTACAGGAATAGGTGTTTCAATGTGATGTGGCCGTAAGCCCTGATCTATAACAGAAGATATATTCACGCCTTTCTCGAGATAAACTGAACATAACAGGCTGAGCACAGTTACAAATCACCCAAGAATATGTGGAGCTATGAGCTCGAAAAACGTGCATGTCTTTTGGAGGACGTTCTACGCCCGCATATTGGACGCCTTTCATAGCGTAATAGTTAACAACCGAGACTGACTCCACCATGACGCGCCTCGTGAGGTTTAATTTCATTTGGTTTTTCATTACTGCGACTGTCTCTCAAATAAAACTAACTTCAGTAATATGCATGCGTGTGTGGTTTTGTGCGTCAGTCTGTGATGAAGTCACCATTAGAAAATACGTGTGGGGAATGAGTACACGGAAAAAAACATTTAGAATTAGATTTGTGTAACGTTCTTATTTATCACCATGGCGCCAAATCGTTAAAACGAATATTAATTAAAGAAAGATGATAGAAGAGGAATTAGCAGTGTAAGCATGTTAGCGGTGCCAAAAATTCTGATTTGACGAGTAGTGATTGTGGATTAGATGAGAAGAAACTGGGTCGATACAGTAGATTTCGTTTAAAGGTGCAAGGAAACGTGTCACTTTGTAAATGGAGCAGAAAGTCAGAAGTAGCAATTTCTAGCAGAATGAAAAGATGAGTTGCCTTCTACGAAAGAAAAGATAAAGACGCAGACTTTAATTTGAAAATGTTTTTTTAATGAATTTTCTGTCCTCTTTGTCTTTTTAGGTCATTCCACACAATGAAATGTTCAATTAAACGTACGTAAATTTCTCTTCGTAGAATTCTACGTAATTTTTATTCGATCAGTTATGTGTCATGTGTGATACACGCTTAGGCGATCATGTATCTTCCGATGCAGATTTTTCCCCTCAGTAGGTTGCCATTTCTTTCTGCAGTCGACTAGTTGCCATCCAAAACTATGGAATTCGGTCTGTCCTGCTATTTACCCATAGCTGGGGGGAAAAGATGATTGATACCTTTGCCAAAGGTATTAGCACGACTGAAATTCGAACTCGGCTCTCCGATTTCTCAATTCGAATTGTTATTTTTAAGCATTTCACCCCTAACAAGGCGGGAAGCCACTAGTACGCAAGAGGTTACAGAGGATTTGGAGCGAGAGCAGATAGGATTGATAGAGGAGAGGATGAGGAGTGGATAGATCAAGGCCACTGGAGATGTCGATTGACATTACATTTGAATAGTTGGAGATTATAGCTATCAGGGAAACAGGAGTAGGGAAGGGAGTTCCACAGGCGAGAGGTGTGAGACATGAAGCTATTGGAGTAGAAGAGGCGGCTACATTTAACAGTTTCAACAGTGAGGGTTGAAAGGGTGAGAACGGGATGCCAGCCTTGTAGGACACCTGAATTCGCGAAGTCTTGGAACCAGTGAAAACAGCTCATCGGAGCAATTACCATGAAAGTACTTGTAAAAAGGACAGAGAGAGGCGACGGCACGTCTGTGAAAGAGCGACTGCAGACGAGATGCCAGATCAGGGCCAATTATAATGCATATCCGTCTCTGGATTTTATCGAGAACTCCGAGGCAAACAGAAGGGGCCCCAGACCATATGTGGCAGGAATACTCCATGCAAGGACGAATGGTTGATTTGTAGATTTGAAGGATCGATTCCAGAGAGATAAACTATATTTGGTAATCATAAATGGAAAAGAGACTATAATTCAGCGACTCCTATTATTTTAAAAGGAATATTGATTTTTTTTTTTTGTATGTGTATAAACGTACCGACTTTTGCAAATATTGTCGTCCTTATACTACATTACCAGCTCTCCAATTCCTCAATCCAAGCCACAATCCATTATTCTACCGCGCCTTTTTATTAAACTTTAATATTACCATTGTTTTTGTTTTATCTTTTGGTCATCATACAAATCTGCAAACAATTCGCTGAAGTAATGGTTTTATTAAAAAATACCTTATCAATGTCGATATCTGACATGAACGATTGACAGAAGGTGCCATCCGAATGTTCGGAAATTTAAACATGATAAAATGGCTTACCCTAACAATTCGTTTTTGCATTCTCCTTCAAACCAGTGCTTTTGTTTCGTTTATTAACTCAAGAAAAGGTACTGCTCATAAAGGTAGAAGCAAATGTTAGTACTACATTTGGTTGGTGAGCATTGTGCAAATTTGAGAATAATTTGTATAGCATCACTTGGGTCTGGATTGTCGTACGAAGTGGACTGTACGAAAGTTTGCAGATATGCAGAATTTGGTAAAGTCTTGGCCTCACAAAGCATTCGCAAGTGAATTTCATCCTTACAAAGTATTCAAAAAACGCAACTATGTCTTTATTAATGAATCAACATATATATATATATATAATATATATATATATATATATATATATATATATATATATATATATAATATATATATAAGTGAACATTGAAGTCAACACTCAGAGGCGAAAGGCTGTTTCATGCTAGAGGCTTTTAAATTGGAGAACATTCATGAATGTTCATCAGTTCATGGTTGGAAAGCCTAGATAAACTAACGACATCCTCGTTTTGTTAAATAAACACGTGTGGTGATCACTTACATGTGCCACACCTCCGCTTTCTTTAATGTCATTGGTTCATAAATATATGATACTTACTATATGACAATTTTGCCATCGCACATTATTTGAACTTTTCTGTAAAATCACGGATTGGTCCATTTCCTGGCCAATCGCGTATTTTAGTATCTTTCTAATATTTTTTTGGCGCCAAGCTCACTTGAGCCTATGCATACCTATATAAACTCTCTCGCTGTTAGCCAACATTGGTAGCGGTTCAATTCTCTGAATATACGGCACGGCGCTATATTACTTATAACCTTTTAATTCTTAGTTATTACTCATTCGAGTAATCTTACTAACTTCTATTAATATCACTTGTGCACATTACATCTTTTCACACTCACAGACTGTGGAATTATTCTTCATTGAGCTAAGAACATTAATTGAACTTTATAATTAATTAACATTTAATATTGTAACTCAACATTACTTAAGTGCACTCACCCTTTTTATTACAGACAAAAGGGAAGTAACTTTTTCATGCTTATTGTTGATGTTTGTATATTGTTGTTATAATACAAATATTTATTTAAAGTTTATGGAGCTTGACTTATTTCTCTCATATATTCTGTGCATATTTCATGTGGAGTGTTGTTTATAAGACACAGCTTTCCTTCTTGATTGCTATTACATTTTACAGTGACCCTAGCCAACATATCTTACAACACCACTACACACGTACAGCAAAATAAATCCTACATTTGCTTTGATAAAATACATTAGAGGACGAAAGGCGTTGGCTAAGAATAGATTTTCCTCTTGTCTCTTTTTATCTTTTTTCTAGAATTTGGGGATATCGTAGAACCCATGGAACCTAGTTGTCAACAGGGCACTAATCAGGTTAATGATATAATCTATATATATATATATGTGTGTGTGTGTGTGTGTGTGTGTGTGTGTGTGTGTGTCCGAATACATGGTTGGTATAGATAGAATAAAATTACAGTAACCAAAAACACTATTTTTTTAAAAAAAGTGCACAATACAAATTAGAGCGCATGATATTTATTTAAAAATTATAAGATAAATATGTTATAACGTCACTAAAAAATAGCCATTTTGTTTCAACACTTCTGGTGTCTTGTCAAATGATGGTTTTGATTGCAACAGCATCCCTTGATAAGATATCAGAAGTGTTGAAACAAAATGCCTATTTTTGTAGTGACTCACAAAAAGCGCTCAATGTTTATTTTCATTAAATAATTTACCCTGAGTCAGTTTTAATATTGAATATTTAATAACTACTGGTATCTTAATTCCAACTGTATGATATATATATATATATATATATATATATATATATATATATATATATATATATATATATATATATATACTAGCAAAAGCCGCCATATCGGGCGGTATTTAAGCTAGCTCCTGCGGAGGGCTCTTGATTGGGCGTTCAACTTGTTCAGGAGTTTGTTATGTTGAAAGTATGATATGTTGGAATGAGGCCTCTCAGAATAAAGTTGAAAACAAACTGTTGCATGAGATAAAGTGAATGCATGCACCCCTACTAAGACCAAATATATGTAATTAGTAATCCGTGCTCAACAGTGACGCAATACTCTTTTGAATATGAAGAATGAAATTTATTATAAGTAAAACAGATTTGCTTCTATTCCTCTACGGCGGGGCACCAAAAAAGCAGATCACACAAGTATTTCACTAGTACATAGACACCAGTGACTTTCAAACTTATTATAGAGATCTCTGAGAGTAACATGCTAACCACTGCATTGCAACAATCCTCTTACCTACAATATTTAGGCTTTGAATATTGCTGCCACATCTGGTCTGGTGCTCTTGCTATATATTTAGAGATTCTTGATAAAATCCAAAGAAGAATCTGCAGGGTTATTAGTCCTAACCTGGCATCTTGGCTTCAGTCACTTTCCAACCATCATAACGTAGCTTTTATGTGCCTTTTCTATAAATACTTTCATGGTAATTATTCTGATGAAATTTCCTGTATAGTACCTAGACTTTAGGAATTTAAGCACAGTACTAGATTGGCAGCAAGGTCTCATCATTTAATTGTTGAAATGGTGAGATGTAACTGTATGTTCTATGTTAAAAGTTTCTTCTATCTCACTTCTTTGTTTGTGGAAATCTATTCCAGCTTTTTGTTTCACAGTCAACTTTGATCTCCCAAAATCGAAATGCAATGTCACGTGTTATCTTCGATTTTCTTAATTCCTGTTCTTTTATTTTTCTCTCTCTTTAATAATGTTTATTTATTTATTTCCTTTTATTTTTTTATTTATTTTATTTTATTTTATTTTTTTTGCCATACATACTCTCTAACATTCAGTAATCCCTTGCGTCTTAGGAGCTTTATTGCCTTGCTTGGGGTGAAATAATTAAAACAAAACAAAACAAAACAAAAGAAACAGAAAACGTTGCAATTTCAGTTTGAGAAAAATCTGAAGATTTCTTTAAGGAATATTGCGCCTTTTTAACGGCTCAGAAGTTCTTGAGACCGCGTTCGATCTTTGTGAATGATATTAAAAAACTATTAGTTTGAAATTATGCCTTCCAAAAGTTAAACAAAATTAAGAAACAGGAAAATTTCATTAGAAACAAAGAAAAGAGAGCTGCTATGTAATA